TAACTCCATCAACACACAACACATTTGCTATAGTGATCTAACTCATCACACACAACAACATTTGCTATAGTGATCTAACTCATCAACACACACAACACATTTGCTATATTGATCTAACTCATCAACACACAATACATTTTGCTATAATTGATCTGACTCATCAACACATTAATCTAACTCATCAACACACAATACATTTGCTATAGTGATCTAACTCATGAACCCACACAACACATTTGCTATAGTGAATCTAACTCATCAACACACACAAAACATTTGCTATAGTGATCTAACTCATGAACACACACAACACATTTGCTATAGTGATCTAACTCATCAACACACACAACACATTTGCTATAGTGATCTAACTCATCAACACACACAACACATTTGCTATAGTGATCTAACTCATCAACACACACAACACATTTGCTATAGTGATCTAACTCATGAACACACACACTACATTTGCTATACTGATCTGACTCATCAACGCATTAATCTAACTCATCAACACACAATACATTTGCTATAGTGATCTAACTCATCAACACACAACACATTTGCTATAGTGATCTAACTCATCAACACACAACACATTTGCTATAGTGATCTAACTCATCAACACACAACACATTTGCTATAGTGATCTAACTCATCAACACACACAACACATTTGCTATATTGATCTAACTCATCAACACACAATACATTTGCTATATTGATCTGACTCATCAACACATTAATCTAACTCATCAACACACAATACATTTGCTATAGTGATCTAACTCATGAACACACACAACACATTTGCTATAGTGATCTAACTCATCAACACACACAATACATTTGCTATAGTGATCTAACTCATCAACACACACAACACATTTGCTATAGTGATCTAACTCATCAACACACACAACACATTTGCTATAGTGATCTAACTCATCAACACACACAACACATTTGCTATAGTGATCTAACTCATGAACACACACACTACATTTGCTATACTGATCTGACTCATCAACGCATTAATCTAACTCATCAACACACAATACATTTGCTATAGTGATCTAACTCATCAACACACAACACATTTGCTATAGTGATCTAACTCATCAACACACAACACATTTGCTATAGTGATCTAACTCATCAACACACACAACACATTTGCTATATTGATCTAACTCATCAACACACACAATACATTTGCTATATTGATCTGACTCATCAACACATTAATCTAACTCATCAACACACAATACATTTGCTATAGTGATCTAACTCATGAACACACACAACACATTTGCCAGAGTGACTCAGCTCCGTCAACAAATTGACAAACGCTGCCTGCAGGGCCCCCAAGTTGTCCCTCTGTAAAGTCGGGGCTTGGGGTAAGTTAACTCCCGCGACGAGAGGGGTCCAACGTGAACAGAAACAACAACTTGTCGAGTGAAGTTGTCCTGCAGCTGTGAAGGTCAACAGAATTGGTCGTAAAAACAGCCGTGGTACGGCGCGAAAGAAGTCCATAGGCACATACAGTACAAACGTAACGACGGTACCACTCTTGTTTGTAAATGTACATCATTGACGGCCACTCATCGGGCGTCTACGTCGATAAAACACCATCCCGGGATGGTGTTACAAAAACGTTATATAATAAATGGGGGTTTAAAAAAAATTTAAAAGTCGAATCATTGCAAGGCCCTCCCGACGGCTTCGGGCCTAGTGAAGGCTTTTTACGGCTTTACTAGCGAGCGACGCCGACGCTGTGTCCCTTAGACGGGGCGGGATGCGGTGGAGGAGGGGGGAGTCGGACGTAGGTTAAGCAAATGCGTATTTCGTGAACTTAAAATGAGGCGCAAGTCGTCAAATGTCTCGTACTGTGAACTTTAAAAGCCTCGTGTTTGCTAGTTTAATGTGTATAGGCGGGGAGGGATGTTTAACGAGGCGAGAGCAGCTGTAGTAAGCATGCTGTTAATGTTCCAGAGTTGGTTGCTTATTCTATTATCACGGTCCATCTATGTTGGCTTACTTAGTTCTAGTTACTTTCAAAAGTAATCTTTGCTGAATGAGACCGGCTTATCGTTTAAATTAAACACGAGTCCCATGTTCATAACACGAGCCGATTGTTATAGCCTTAAGAGTAATGTACTATACAGTTTGTGGATGTTTTCATACAGCAGTGGATTTACTATGGAGGAGGATGATGATACTCTTAGATTTTTTCGGTAAAGTCACGTAGGTAAAAATAAATAATAGAAATAATATTTATATTATATATAAAAATAAATAATAGAAATAATATAAATATTAATATTATTATTTATTTTTATTTCTATTATTTACTTTTACCTATATGACTTTACCGAAAAAAACCCAAGAGTATGAATCCTTGCAGTCACGAAAGCTTCAAATCTATATGATGATAATATTGGGAAACATGTTTTTACAAGCTTTAGTGCGGCACTCAAACTGTTTACTACTACCAAGGCTAACGTAATTGTTCTTATTATCGTGCTCTTTTTAGTGGGCTCATTTACAAAGTAATTACGTTTTAAACTGTCGTTTAAATGACAATCGTCATTTTGCAATATGCAGTGACCACATAACTTGCTGAACTTTCGTCTTGTATCGATTTACAGCGAAAGGGGTGCGATAGTTCACGGCGGATTCATCATTTCAAAGCCCTTTGTCGATCGGGCCACTGCTGGATGAAGGCTTCAACACCGTCTCAGTCGGTGGGAGTCGTTTGGCCATACTTCACCACGCTGGTCATTGTGGGTGTATGAAGAAAAAGGTTGCCCCCAGGGGGGACCTGGTTCTGATATCGATCGCTTCTGATGATAGCCACGACCGGGGGATCGAACTCGGGGTGGCTTGGTTCGTAGTGCGGTGCACTAATAACCACCACTCCGATACAATTATTGCAAGCGAATGATTGTGTGAACACAAAAACAATCGTCGCATCAACAAATTGTATACACAGTTACAGCATTCATGGTTAGCTATTACGCAAGTATTGTAAGCTGTGGTTACCAGGTTAGGCCAAGAGATAGAAGTACATCAATGCATCTGTCTTTGCTGTTTGGGGTTTTCTCTGGCTATTTTGTTCTTTAGTTTGTTGTCTTTCCGCACCCCCCGTACCCCTGATGGCTTCGTACGGTGCGAAAGAAGTTCTACATACACTCTAATTCCAGTCTCTTCCCACGTTCAGTAAGAAAAAAACACATGTCAGTGTAGAAGGACCCTCCTGAAAATGAGTTTAGACTGGTGAGGCTCTGCTGATTAAATGAATGCCATTATAATTTGCCCAGAGGGATGGTGAATCTATAATTATCATTCTCTTGATATCAGTACACCCCTATGCCACGTTCGGTTTGATATTTACACTTGTGTCAGTCACATTACCTCCAATGAGTAACGGTGATAAACATCTTAAACCAGATGCTACCCGAGGGAATTTAGGGTTTGCAGGACATTGCAGACGCCTCGTGCGGTTATCCTCTGGGTTTGTAAGTTGATAGCCTCCGTCTGTGCGGAGCGGGTAACAACTCCGTAAATGGAATAGGCCAAACATCCACGTGCAGGACCTCCTGAAGTAGACCTTATAGACCCGCGGAGAATTTCCTCGCCAAATAGAAGGGGCATCGCTGTGACTGACACAGTGTGGAGAGGCCTTCATCCAGCAGTGGATTGACAAAAAGGGCAGTCCATGTGTTAATTGTGTGCGCATGCTTTTGTCAGTCCACTGCTGCTGGATAAGGGTCTTGCCCGCGCTGTGCATGTCGTGGGGGTTATTTGACCACGCTTCACCATGTTGGCCAGTGCATATTGGTTTTTGCTTCACTGCCCTGTGCTGCCCATCACATGGGTCTGTTATATTGAAGTTCAATTCCCACATTTCAACAACAACACCTTAACAAATGTTCCCTTTTATCAATTGAAGCGGTGGAACGTGGCATTAAACACTTGAGGTGTTGTACGTAACTGTTTTCAGGTCGAAGGAGCGTACAGAGTTCGTCATTATGTGCTTAAATAAAGTACTTAAGGGTTGTCTTCATTTACAACAGTGCCCTTGCAACTGGCCAGTGTTTCCTTGTATATTCCTTCAGAGCAGAGAGAAAGAATGATTTATAGAGCGAGGTGTGTTCTTATTTTCTGCCCAAAAGGAAATTTAGTTTGGGAAAGAATAGTAATTGACTACTAGTCACAGAAGAACCCAGTTTAAATGTTACCATTTCTTCAGGGTGCAGGTATCCTCAGTAAATATTTTAACTTTTAAGGTCATCTTTTGAAATTGAGAATTCTGCTCTAAATTAGTTGTTATCTTTGTTATAGATGTCATCTATATATTCACGTGAACATTATATAAAATGCTCACTGATCCATACACATACTTTCACAAACTATAAAAAGACATTCTCATATAATTTTACAGACTGTTCGGCAAGTGCTGTTAAGTATGCATATTTTAAGGTCAGCATGACCAGTGTGGTGAAGTATGATCAAACGAACCCCCATGACCGACATTCTATGGGGAGGCCTTCATTCAGCAGTAGCAAGATGTTAATCCCCTCGCCTGGTATGCAGGAGGTCGTGGGTTCGATCTCGACCCTAACGCCCGTATAGTTAGTTTGCATGTTCTCCCTGTGGTTGCGTGGATTTTTTTTCCGGGTCCTCTGGTTTTTCTCTCCGCATTTCGAATCAACATCGCGCGTTTAGAGTATTTGACTGCTATACATGCCCACGTGATGATGAGCCACTTCGTTGAGCTATCATTTGTGGCCAGGTTGCTTCTGAAAAAGAGCTGTGTAGCTTAGTGGGCCTTGCCTGGTCAAACAAAAATAGTGAGCATTATTTGTTTATAATAGGGCATTACATTGCTTTATGAACGATGTATATTCAAGTGAATTTCCTGAATGTTAAACGTCTGTTAACAAAGTGCCTTCATTAATGGATGTGTACTGCTCTGTCACGATTTCCCGTAGGCCCAGATGAAGTTCCCCAAAGACTACCCCTACTCTCCGCCAACGTTCAGATTTCTGACGAAAATGTGGCACCCCAACATCTATGAGGTGGGACTGGGCGGACGCCAACGCCGTCTAAAAAAGTGCACGCAAAGAAATTTGTTTTTCGGAGCGCGCAACAACAACAACAAAAAACCCATTTAATGTTTATGGGGGGCAATGCTTAACAAGACGAGAACAGCTGCTTGTGGTAATCGCTCTCACTGTTTCTGTTAAAAATTTTTAACAGTAATATTTGCTGAATGAGACTCGCTTATCGTTTAAATTCAACGAGTCCCATGTTCATAACACGAGCTGATTGTATAGCCTTAAGACTAATGTACTGTACAGTTTGTGGATGTTTTCATCCAGCGGTGGATTGACCCCGCTGGCCAATCGGGAGTTCATCATCGGCTGTAATATTTTAAATCGGCACAGTTGGTATTTGCATCATTTTTATAGGGCAAGGCTATCGTGAAGCTGCTACATTTCACAGACTGGTATAAGTCCGCCAGTAGGGGACGATGTTGCAATGTGGGTTCCCCCTCCCCAATAAAGTATTAGCCTATTAGCTGCTGGATGAAAGCCTCCCCAATCCACTCATGCCGGTTGGCACGGGTCTGTGTAGGGGGGGGCGGGAATCGAACTCTGGGTAGCGGGGGTTCATCGCACGGTTCGATGACCACCGCGCCCAGCGCTCCGACCGATTACACTGGTCAACAAAAAAAAAAAATTCTGGCCTGGACTTTTGCAGCTGTTTTAGACTAATTTCATTTTTATGCTATCGGCATACCCCATTTTCATTGATTTTACCCGAAATTAACTCTGTCACTTATGATTGCAAGTTGTTGCGAGTCAGTGACTGCTTTAGTGTTAAAATATGGTGCTGTATTTTTAGGATAGTGTGTTTATAATATAATTTTATGTAGATATCCACATTTATTTAATATTTTTCTTCCGCAGTTTTTATTGAAAATGCAATATTTGATATCTCAAAAACCTGATGTGATAGACAAAAACTGATGCCAGATTTGGAATCGGCACCCCAAAATTACCTTAAAACCGTTGGAATACCTTATGCCAGAAAAAGTGTGTTGACCAGTGTTATCGGTCGCTCGTGTGAAATCCAGCGTCGCTCGATGCAGAGACGCTGTAGCCGAGGGGGGAGCAAGTTAAACATGAAGTTCTACGTGATCTAAGCTGAGCACTCGAGCTTGAGTCCTTGGCACGTGAAGCCAAGCTGCCTTGTTGTCCTGTCCCCTGGGCAACTGCTCCTACACGCCTACCGAACGTCACCGGGAAGTGTGTGACGTCAGTGTGTGACGTCAGTGTGTGACGTCAATGCTGCCCCCACATGCCAGCCCACCACCCCACTTCCAGCGCCCCTTGCCCCCCCCCCCCCCCCACTTCAGAGTTCGTTATCCCCCCACTTGTGGAACGGTGGCACTATCCACATTTGGTTGTAGGCATCGCCACTGGCAGTCCTGAGCCATTTGTGGAAATTCCACGTTGCTATGGAGGGAACTGTTGTGTTCATAGGTACGAGTTGTAACTCAGTGCTGAATTCGATTACAAGAGTCTGATCTTTTACATCATGATAAAAGTAGCACCGCCAGTGGTTGCTGGGGTCAAGGTGACCCCATTACAAGCGACGTGTAACAAATAGTTACACACATTCGTCACGTCCTAATCAATTCCTACGTGCGCAATTCGATGTGTGTAAGAGCCCGGTTTCATCCCTGACGCGGCGCGTCGTTTCTTGCCTATCCATAGGTCGCTCACCATCGAATCTATTTACAGAATCGCCAAATTAATGATGTCAACGCTCAATTTTTAGCGATTTTGCTGAGAGCTAAACATAGCCAACTGCAGCGCCATCAACAGCAGGGCCGTCCGCCCGTGACATAAGCGAGCTCGGTGACTAAGAGGGTGGAATGTAGTGTTTGTGAGACACCAACGAGAGCCGCTGGCTTATTGACAACGCCTCGGAATTTGCCATAGGCTCGGCACTTTGGCTGGTTGCGCAATCTGTTGTCGTCGTAGTCACTTGGCAGCGGTGGTAAACTTCGGGTCTCTTCTTTTCTCTCTCTCTCTCTCCCACCCGCAGAACGGCGACGTGTGTATATCCATCCTCCACCCGCCTGTTGATGATCCGCAGAGCGGAGAGCTCGCTTCGGAGAGATGGAATCCCACGCAGAGCGTCCGGTGAGATGGCAGACAGAACGATGAACGTATGACGCACGCGACGTTTCGTCCCTCCCGAGGAGATTGGGGCCTAATAGGGTTTTTCCCATTTTTTTCTGGCAACAAAACTGACACCTTTTGCAAGGAATCATGCTTACATTAACCACAATACTTGCAGTCAAATGCAAACAAAAAACAATACTCTGATAATTTATGCATTGTCTTTGAAACTGATTGGTCCACACCAGAGACAGCTTTCTTTGGAGCCTAGTCTCATATGGTGTTCGACCAGATGACGCCAAAAGGCGCACAGTTCAAAGACAACGCACTACCAGAGTAATGAGAGCTCGGGGTGAGCAGCTACTGGCAAAGGAGGTCCCATGATGAGATTGGGGCCGTGAAATCGGCTCCTGTGCAGGCGCTGGTGTGGGTTTTCACAGCGCAGGATCGCGGAGAGGAGGGGGTTGGTGGCTCGGGGAGGCGTTGATCCAGCAGTGGATTGAACGTGGCTGGTGATGGTGCTGTGGCAAATCGCAAACCCCGTTGTCAACTCGCTGAGTTTTCGTGATTCGGGCCTCGTGGTTTTTGGGGTTACACAATTGAATACAAGAGTTGATTATAATTGTTGTCCCATTCATACCATCGATTCGTACCTTGAGATTTTGTGAGCAAACTTAAAATTGGAATAATGTAAATCGATTTTTACACTACGTAATGAGTGTAATATTAGCGTAAGGATCAATAGTATTTCATTCTTACGCTAATATTAGTTTAAAGCGTAAGGATCAATTGTGTTTGACATACAGTCACGTGCATGATGACCGTCATATAAAAGAACACGAGTTGTGGGATTTTGGTTTCTAGTCCCAATTGCAGCTTTGAAAAAGTTTTCCCAAAGAGAACGGACCTCTGGCAAAGTGTCCCTTCTGACGTCACAGTTTGTAACTTTTTTCGATTTAAAGCTTTCGTGACTGCAGGGATTCATCTTCTTGGTTCTTTCGGTAAAGTCACGTAGAAGGGAAATAAAATAATAAAAATAAAACATAATAAAATAATTATCACGACGTTTCGGCCACAACGCAAGCAGCCGTCCTCAGGTGAAGAACAGGTCTTTCCGTCTGAATGAATTCAGACGCTGTCTTTCCGACACACCTGTTCTTCACCTGAGGACGGCTGCTTGCGTTGTGGCCGAAACGTCGTGAGAATGATTTTAATATGTTTATTTTTATTATTTTATTATTTCCCTTTTACGTAACTTTACCGAAAGAACCAAGAAGATTGTAACTTTTTGTTAATTTCCCGAGGAGGCCGTCACATGGCTAAATGAAAGGCCCGTCCTTTATCTCTCTCGTTTAACCGACGTTACATTGGCCGCGCACGTGTGTCCCAGGTCACCTTTTGCGTCGCCGGCGCGTTGCAAATCGGGGTGGCGTAAAAAAGCGAAACGCAAAATGACACGATCCGTGACCTCGCACCCACCCCGCTGACGTTTCTCACGGCCGTGCAGGACGATCCTCCTGAGCGTGATTTCACTTCTCAACGAGCCCAACACCTACTCGCCGGCCAACGTGGACGCTTCCGTCATGTACAGGAAGTGGAGGGACAGCAAGGGCCGGGACAAGGAGTACGCCGATATCATCAAGTGAGTGCGGTCGGAGAGCCGCCTGGCGCCACCGTGACCAGCGTGCTCGCCGCAGTCGCTGGATTTTCCACGGGAAAAAAACGCACACAAGGGGTGGACTTCACACAACGGCGAACGTTGATGCGGAGCTGTAATTGTACACCGAGGTGGTTGGGCCTGACAATTGCGTCTGGAGCAGCTGAGTGGCGAATCATTGCCGCGATGCCTCTCCTTCGTGCTTGTGAACAGGCCATGTCGTCGCTATTTTGTTCCATGGTTCTGTTCTGGGTGGGAGAGTTTTTTGATCTGCCATTCGTGCATCAAGTATCTGCTCCTGCTGCTACTGCTGCTGCCGTTGTTTGTGTGCCGATGCGGTTTAGGGTTACGGCACATAAGTTCAGAATCAGATTATTTAAACTGGAGGAATCCGATAAGCTATGAAGCTCTTCTTCTTGGTTCTTTCGGTAAAGTCACGTAGAAGGGAGGTACTAAAATAACAAAAATAAAACAATCAAATAATTCTCACGACGTTTCTGCCACAACGCAAGCAGCCGTCCTCAGGTGAAGACCAGGTCTGTCGGGGAGACAGCGTCTGAATGACGCTGTCTCCCCAGCGTCTGAATGACGCGACTGAATGACGCTGTCTCCCCGACAGACCTGTTCTCCACCTGAGGACGGCTGCTTGCGTTGTGGCCGAAACGTCGTGAGAATTATTTTATTATGTTTTATTTTTATTATTTTATTACTTCCCTTCTACATGACTTTACCGAAAGAACCAAGAAGACGAATCCCTGCAGTCACGAAAGCTTTAAATCGAAAACTATGAAGCTCTTTTTCACAAATGTCCAATAGGGGTAATATGCCAGTGATCTTCTGCGTCGGGGTCTTTCACGAGACGTCTGTGGACCTAGCAAGTGGCTACTGACCGCACAAGGCAATAAGGAACACATGATCACATGAATTGGAGTGGAGGATTTTGAATTGGCGTTGTGACAATTTGCCGATTGATTAATCATTTTTATTTTATTGGGTCAGATCGCGTAAATAGAATGTGTGTCGTAAACCCTCCTCCACAGTTGTCACGTGATGAACAAACGTGGCCAATTTATTACTGCTTCAGCACCGCCGGTGTGTTGGGAGAGCGATCGAACAACATTTAAATAGGTGTGGACGTGTCACCGATAGTTACAGCCAGCATCATCCGTCAGTTGTCAGAATTGTGAAAATGTCCCCCAGTCTTGGGCCTTAAATAGGCGATGAGTAACCCACCAGAGAAACGTCGTAGCCGACGGTTAAACTTGGTGACGCTGCTCTGCAACGCGTCACTCGTGTGCCGAAGCAGCGAGGCTTGCTCGATCACGTGAACGTTGGGAAGCTCCCCTTGGGTGTCGTGGAAGAGCAGTACCCTGGCTCGCCAGAAGGCGGTACATGAGAAATGTGGACTCCACCTGTTCCGTGTCGGGGTAGAGTGTCGCGCCCTCGCACACGCTCGTGGGTTTTCTCCGGGCGCTCCGGTTTCATCCCACATGTAAACAGCTCCTTGGTTGGCCGATTAACACCTGAATACATAGCGGACCGCAGAGCTTTAGTGGGGGGTGGGTGGGGGTGGCAATTTGACACCGGCTCACCGCGTGGCCGACTTACTGCTTCGACTACGGTTCCTCCTCCCGGCACGTTTACCGAGTCTTGGCGTTCTTCTTCTCCTCACCGCGGTCGATGGCGCTACCCGACGTTTGTCCCGCCCGCTGTATCCGTGACCCCCGCAGGAAGCAGGTGGTGGCGACCAAGGCGGAGGCCGAGAAGGACGGCGTCAAAGTGCCCACCACCCTCGCCGAGTACTGCGTCAAGACCAAGCTGCCCGCCAAGGAGAGCGGCTGTGACATGCTGCTCGACGAGCTGTACGACGACGACGACGACGACGACCTGGACGACGACGAAGATGACGAGGGCCTCGCCGGGGAGTACTGCGACGACGGAGAGGACGACTCGGGCAACGAGTCCTGAAGCCGGCCGCTCCCGCACCATCCCCTTTCCTCTGTCCCCACGCCATCCCCTCTTCTCTACCACCTCCCCCATCCCCCTTCCTGTCTCTTCCTGCTCAGCTCCTCTCTCGCCTCTATTCTTCTCTGCTTTCTCCTCCTTACCCGCTCACTCTCACCTCTGTCTCTCGCCTCTCTCCCGCCTTTCTCACCGCTGCTCTTTCATCATCCTCTCGCACGTTTCGATTTCTCTCATTTCTACCCCGCCCCCTCTCCAGTCGTAGCATTTTCCGCTTCCACTTTTTTCTCCTCTCCCTTCACTTCCCCCCCCCCGCAAGACTTGGCCAAGGACGTCGCCTATCCACTTCGGCCGTCGAGAGAGAGAAAGAGACAAAGCTTTTGTTTTTCAAATAAGTTAATGTCAAGTTGCTAGAGCGGGTAAATGAGTGACGGTGCAACCACGCGCGCATCCCCACGCCCGTGAGCGACCGAGCGAGCTAAGCCGGCCAATGGATCTGGCAGACGAGTGCCCGACGGCTCGACGGTCGGTGACCCTGCGTGACCTCCGGGCGACGTTTGGTTTTGTTTACGGTGGCGGGCACGCGGGCTCTTGGCGTCGACGGCAGCCGCCCACCACCTCGCCCGCGCACCCCAAACTGATTTGTTTTTCTCGAGTGGCTTCAACGAGCAGACAGAACCTTATGCAACTTCTCACGGCCCCAGCCGCCGCCACCTGTGTAGCCTTTACCCCGGCCGCTCCCACCTGTACCGACATCGCCTTCCCGAAGAAAATAAAAGTAAAACACAAGTGCTGCGCAGGGGTTCGAAGCACACGCGTGCATGCATACGTGCACAAAGGCCTTTCGAAGGGGAACTGAAGCTCATATTTATTGAATGTCCCTGCCCTTACGCCGATGTTTTTAAGTGAACGGCTGTTTCTCCTTTAGTTCAGTTTCTTTAAAGCTGTGGTTTTCCGCTGCTGCGGCGGGGGTGATTGCATTTGCCCCCGAATGTGAGGAATTTGACGGCAACATTGAAATTAACACAATATTGCATCTTCTTTAAAATACTTTTCTAAAGCTTCCGTTCCCCTTCCCTTCTTAGAGTCATGCGCGCCAAGTAGGATTTGAGTCATTTTCCGTAGTTTACTGGCGACATGCGGAATGTGTTTTTTTATTATCAGGTCCCTTCTCTGGTTTCCAGCTCTTAAGTTTTACGCAAAAAAAAAGTTGCTTGGCACTACCGACCGGCAAACAGGGGGCACACATTGGACCATCTCCACCGGGTTAAAAATAACGTCACTGTTCAAATAGAACTTAATTGGTGTTCCCACATGGGCTGACACACGAGTAGACATTATCACAGTCGTAGTCATTACGCTGTTACCCAACGGCGATTGCCCAACACGTTGGCATATACAGGGACTCTTACGAACGAGTTAGGTTCCGAAAGTCCAACTTAACTCCTGTCAATTCCAAACGTGCTGTTATGGCATGTACACTAAACACGGGGAATGGCTTTAAAAGTTGTATCATCTCCTGTAGATGTCACTGGTTCTTCATGTTCTGTCCACAGACGTAGATGCCACCACCGCCGTCTATTGCGCGGCAGTTGAATTTGCGAATCTCGGTCGGAACAGGCAATTGGCGATAAGGACAGGTTTGTTCGTATCTCTTAAAGTTCGTAAGTCGAATATTCGTAAGTAAATGAGTCCCCGTATGTGTTCACCCGTGACGCAGTGTTGCATTCGCGCCTGCGGTTGTAACATAAAGCGAAGGGTGATATTTTATTCTGCAACGACATGGTAGAAAATGAATAGCGACAGCGCCAATCACAGCGACGAGCGACTCGCATCTCGTCTCCTCTCAAAACACGTTTTTGAAAGGGGGCACCCCCAGTGGCAGCTGTCCGTGTGTGTGCGGCACAAGGTGACTCAGCGCCTGACCTGCAAGCGGGAGCTGGCCTGCCAGTCGGGGCGCGGTGATTTCTGCCGTGTGTCAACTCAATCGAGTAACTTATCCTCGTATCGCCCCGGTTTTTGCCCGATATTTCACCTGCTGCGTGCAACGCGCAGAGTTGGCGAGGTGTATAATTGTTCGCGATACGATCTCAAATGTCACGATATGACTATCGCGATATCAGTTTTTCTTCGCAATTATAGTTCACGTTATTTACATCAACATTTTGCGCTTTGATGTACTGAAAAGTACTAACGCTTCGAAGTTCAATCCTCGCTACTGCAATTTGCTCAACATAAGCCACAAGTTTTTCTATTCGATTCAACTTTACGAATCTGTAAGGCTTACCGCGTATAACACGACCACCGTGCTGGCAATTTACCCAAAAGACATTTCACAAAACGGCAATTAAAATGTATAACGTAAAAAAATATACTTTATTACTACTTTTGTGAATTATAATTAATCCGTAAAACATTTTAAATGAGGAAATAAATATATATTCTTTAAATAAAATGAGCAATGATAAAATATGTTAAGGGGATATTGCGCAGAGCAGACGATGGTGATTTTCTTGGGTCGCATTTTTAAGAAATCGCTCAACTAGAGATGACACGTAGCAACATCGCACCACGACTGCGAAAACTTGGCTCCTGAAAAAGTCTCGGCACTCGGCGAGGCTTTCCCGGCTCAACGAGCAGAATCGTTAAGAATAAATAAATAGCGTACGATTTATCCTGGCAGCCACGATCGCTGCAACTTTAGGAACGGGTAAAAAATCTCAAACCGGCCCTCACGTGATCAAAGGGGATTCATTTGTAAACGTTAAAAGTTATTACGACCTTGGCGCAGAGTCGGGTGCACATGAAGGGTTTTTGTGTGTTGATCTTGACGCCTCGCCCCCTACCCAGCCAACCGACGAAACGGTCCAATGTGTCCTCTTGTCCCGGCCCTGTGCATATCTTGCTCCCTTGCCTGCCCCCCCCCCCCCTTCATAAATAAATAAAGTGGACTCTCACTGAACCACAAGATGCACCGCGGGCCAACGCAACGGCGTAAATCTTAACGCGAGCAACATGCACACTTTGGTCAGCGTTTCTGCAGCGTCCTCCGTGTGTACTCCGTGTGTGTGTATATAAATATAGAGTATAGAATTGTACAAAAATTATACCGTACTTTGAAACTGGAACTTTTATTAGTGTGGGTGTGTGTGCCCCCCACCCTCCCCCCCCTTGGGAGCAGTATCTGGCGTCTTGGAACATGAGGCAGCGTGCACTGCTGGAAGCATGTTCTCCCCCCCCCCCCCCTGGGTCGTACGCGCCCTGCTACAAGCAGCAAGGAGGCAGGGAGAAAGTCCCTTCGAGAGGAGGAGAGGGGGTGTTTCGTTCTGGCCTGCTGCCACCATCGCGTTTAGTGTCCATTTGGAACTCTCCCAGGCCGATGCACCACCCCGTGTGTTGCATATCCCTCCATGGGGGTCGTTGTTGACCTTCTGAGATCACGTTCAAGCGATAATTATTTTGGAATCACGAGAAGGAATTTCAATATTTTAACTTGCCCTGCTGCAAGACAGTCGGTGATATGCTTTCCCTAGCTGGAATTTCACCAAAATTAAGTAAACAACCAAATTTAACGCGTGATGGCTTTTGTGTGTGTGTGTGAAATCAATGGTGATTGGGCTGAGATCATCAACACTTCTTGAGAAGCAGGTTTCCTGCAAGCTGAATTGGAAAACCGGGCTCTCGGTGTTGTCAGCTCGAATCTTTTGACCCCCGACCACCACAGCCACCTCCCAAGTGGCGGATGCAGGTTTTACACAAATCTAACCAAGGACACATGGAAGCTGGTCAATTTTGGGAATGTGAGTAACCGAATGAGGTGATGCTGCTTTATCAGATGCCTAAAATGAGGCCAAGGTTTAAAACCCCTTGGCTTTCTCTTTTTTTGAGGGAGGGGGCTCAAGCACGCGTTCGGCATGTCCCGACATTCAAGCTCCACGCGTTGTGGAAAAAAATCTCCTGGCACGTGGAGCGAAACGTCAGACGTTGCAGTCCGACGTGAAAACGCAAGTGGAGGGCCTTCTCTAGAACCAGGCCTTCCACGGTGCGAAATCTGGTGGGGCAGCCAGCGTTTGAAACTGCGGTGTTCTGCAAAGGGAACATGCTTCCGGACATTTTACTGCTGGACATGTGCGGGGAAAAAAAGATTCATTGCTCATCGGATTTCTGTAGGATAAAGATTCTGATTCGTGCAGCTCTCGATCTCTCTTCACGTGTGTTCTGAGGCCTTTGGGGAAGGACGGCTTCCTGTCCCATCAGGGTGGCGTGGTGCTGTCTGCCCACCAGTGCTGGAGTTTGTTGACCTTTTCCTGGTCTCAAAAGCCAAGGGCCCTCCACTCATTGCATTTGCCTTCTTAATGACGCCAGTCGAAACTATGACCAACCTCTCCCACCCACCCACCCACCCTATTTGTTTTTGAGTTCAACTTAATTTTATTTTTTCCCCTCCTGTTTAGCAAAGTTATGTATATTAAAATAATAGTAATTAAATAAAATATGCTGATGTAAAGGTGTTTCTGAGATGATTTTCTCATTGTTGGAAATGTTTTCGTTTTCTGTCTTTGCCAGATGATGACCTCCCCCTTGTTTGACCATACTTCACCGCACTGGTTAAATGCGATTTGGTGAAGGTAGTCCAGGCGCAGTTTGGATATTGCTCGCCACTAACGTTAGCCCGTGGCCAGGAATCGAACTCGGGTTTCTGGGTTCGTAGTGCAGTGTGCTTACCATTGTGCAACTGCACCAACACTTAACGTGTAAAAAAACAGAATAGGTTTTACCCTTTTTTGCATTTACCGCATGTACTTGTGGTGAACATGTAAACACGCTGATAATAAACGATGCATTCTAGATTTGAAGTTTTCGTGACTGCAAGGATCCATACTTTTTGTGTTTTTTTTCGGTAAAAGTCACGTAGGTAAAAAAAAACAATTAAAACTAAATTAAATCACGACGTTTTGGAAGCAACACAAGCATCCGTCTGCTGTGGCGGTTCCACCTGAAAACGGAGGCTTGTGTTGCTTCCAAAACGTCGTGATTTAATTTAGTTTTCATTAAAAAAACATTTTTACCGACGTGACTTTACCGAAAAAAACTAAAATATATGCATCGTCTTTGAAACTGATTGAACTACAACAGCATTTTGTATGGCCTCGTCTCACCACCAGTGTCAGACCAGAGGGCGAACAGTCCAATGCCACACGTATCGGAGCATTAACAGCTCGGGGTGAGCACTTTACGTTGTCTGCTGCCATTAATCGGCCATTCGGTACGAAGCCAGATTTACACATCCACCCTCTAACCCCTACAAAATATAGACTCCTCTTCAATTGCCATAATGCCCTTTGCAGTCCATTCAAAGACACCTGCAAAGGTAAAAACAAAACACGATGAAAGTTGAATAACCAGTACAGGTAAATGTGTTGTCACACCTGCACAGGTAGATGGTGTGGAATTTGAAAACCCTGCGCAGGTAAACATGATTGTACCTTTAAACACCTGCACAGGTAGATGGTGTAGAACTGTAAACACCTGCACAGGTAAACTTGATTAGAACTTAACACCTGCACAGGTAAACTTGATTGGAACCTTTACCACGTGTTTTATTTGCAAGTCAAGTTGGTGACGGGGGGGCCCAAGCCAAAATGGTTTAGCATGGCCACAGATTTCAACGGTGAGGGGGAGGCCTTCATCCAGCAGTGGATACATCACGACGAATGATGATGAACACACAATGAGACACTCGGTTCCAAGGGCTTGAAGCCAGCATTCCTGGCGAAGTGTATCAGACGTGGCCAAAGTGAATTCCTCAGACACCCAGTCACAGCGAGGGCTTGAAGTTAGGTAACCTTGGAGTGCTTCATGCGTGGCGTTGACATGGCCATTATGAACCCACTCAAGTCATAAACATAGGCGTAAACTGATTTAAACGAATGTGTCCACTTTAAATCGTGGATGAATGTGCATGGCAATGTACTGTGTTATAGAAGGCAGAGCAAACCGGGGGAAACCACAACATACACATTGAAAGGAGACGCACAACGAGACGAAGAGAATAAACTGAAGATTACATGCATAGAACTCTGTAAAAGGATTATGGAAAAAGAATGAGAAAACCTAAACAAAAAAACGCGATTGAAGACATCACGGCGAGAAGCGACGGGAGCGTGTAAGCAGCGGAGACTCGCTTGAAGATTGGCAAATGTACAAAGACATGCCGACGTTAAAAGCATTACTTTTATTTTACAGATCGCGACTCTTTACACAAAGGCGACCGGGGGTCCAGGGAGACCCCGATGGTAAACCTTGTGCACGTTGCTCCCGATATGCAAGGACGCGTGCCGTGATTTAGCTGGGGCACCCCGAGAACTTTGTGCCGATATGACAGACGTTTCAGACGGCCACAACGACGCGGTGAAAACGACTGCGCCCGACACAAACTTGCACGGTGAAACAAACAATCGGTCGTGAAGCTTCAACACGCGCCAGCGTCTCTACTTGCCACCTTCGTCAACCGCGCACTGACCAGCGCGGTGAAGCATGGTCAAATAACCGCCTTCACATCTAGCAGTGGATTGACCAAGGGCTGTACATTATGTAACCCCTGAAAGTGGGCTCTCTGAGAGGTCCCTACTCGATAATTGTTTTTTTACCCTTTTATCTGGCAACAAAACTGACACCTTTTTTTACGAGGAGTCATGTTTGCATAGACCACAATACCTGCAGTCATAACGCAAACAAGAGCCTCGTCTCACATGGGTTGGACCAGATGACGCCAAAAGGCCTTTTGGCTTCATCTGGCTAGGCTCTAAGGAAAGCTGTCTCGGGTGTGGACCAATCAACTTCAAGGACAGTGTATTCATTATCAGAGTTGTGTGTTTTTTAGTTTTTTTTGCGTTATGACTGCAGGTATTGTGGTCTATGCAAACATGACTCCTCGTAAAAAAATGTGTCAGATTTGTTGCCAGATAAAAGGGTAAAAAACCAATTATCATATTTTTTTACTGGCAAATGAGGTACCAATGAGGATCCCTACTCGTGCAGGCATCGCGGGGTGTCGGCAGGACATCGAGGGCTGCGCCTTGACATTGACTTGTACATTATATACACGTGCAGCAAATAATATAGCAATATTTCAATACACTTTTCACAAGCTGTACACGTCAATAGTATTTGCGTGATATTTTAACGAGTCTCATTCACACGTTCCCCCGCCTTCCACCCCTCGTAGACCATTGACTGCCCTCACCAAATACAAACTCGAAACCCACCGAGTGCTCTTAAACAATGTTAGGAATGCTGTACTTTTCACCGGAGGTGCTCCGAATGAGCCAAGATCGAATCAAAAGCGAATGGACGGTTGAATTCCTCACCAAAATGACTTTCCGTCGGTAGATTGGGACGGTGGTAGACGACCCAAGAGCCACATCCATAGCGGGAGGCATACACTTGGGATGTGGCGTGCCAGAAGCGGAAATTGTTGGCGAGTAAAACGACGCGACCCATGCGATCCGTTGCCGACGACGACGAATCCTGCCCCACCTTTACCAAACCACGGGCCGACTGCACCTGATCTCTACCCAAACGAGCGAGCTCCAAAATTCTAGTCCTGCCACCACCCACCCCCCTCTGGAATCATTCACCCGGGGAAGCCTCACCCAACCGAACGTTTGGCCAATTCCGTCGGCGAGCATTCGGCTTCGCGTGGCAGGAAACTGGGAGGACCCCGGGAGAAAAAAAACCCGACGCCACACGTCGCACGAGACAGCACCAGGCACCGCCGTCCACCTGGCCACATCACCCAGCCTCACGCACGCGACACGTGGCGAGCCCCGCGGTTGTTATCCCACCAGAGGTACGAAGCTCAACCGTGCTGAGCTTCATAGACATGACGAGGTCCTCCCAAAGATGCACAGAACTGCTTGCAAACGTAATTGTACAGAACCGGCCTAGGCGACAGCAGGGCTTCGGTTTCGTTCACCACAAGGCCACGTGTTTTTGCACCGAAACGTCACTTTTTCGTCCGCACAGCAAGGATCCTGCTTTGTCGAGCACTGTGCCCAGGGTGGTGCTGTTCGGCCCAGAGACTCGAAATTGTCCATCGTCCTTCCGGAGGAATCTTCTACGTCTCGGTGGAGGCAGCAACCAAGACGGCGAGTCGTCCCCGTGTGGGGCGTGTGGGGCATGTGGGGGGGTCAGGTGATGCCTTAACCGCGACCTCTTTGCAGGAGCGAGCACGGGGAAAAGCGTGTTCCAGCTTCACAGGAAAAGCCACCGCTGAAGCAGTTTTTTTTTAACGAAATACACTTTGGCATTATTTCAGAGCTATACTTAATTTTTTTCTATACATTTTTTTATAAGAAATAATAGCTCCACTCTAACCACAATCGGCCTAACCATTTCCAACAGAAATCAGTTTTCCCATTTTTTTTTTTAACTCACGCGGACATTCCCGACGACGTCCAAATGGCCCGGTGAGCGAAAGATTATTTGGTTCGGAAAGCGTGACTTTCCGACGCCGCAGACGACCAACCGCTCGCTAAAACAATGACGTGCCGTGCAAGTGTGGAAAATAATATTACTTTAATAGAACTCTATGGCGATAGTCCTGCCGTGCTCACGGCTCGGCTGGATAAATCTGGAGGCGGTCGGTTACTTACCCCAAAAAATAAAAACCCACTAAAATCACGTTATGTACAAGCAGGAGGATGAAACATCGAGTACAAAACTTTAAAAGGCGACGATCTGGCTTCCCCTTACGATTTCGCAATTAATTTTTTTACGGCCAGAAAAAAAAAACACACGCCTGCCCCTGTGATTCTCACGCGTGTGACGTCGTATAAAGTAGTGCACGCGATCGCCGAGCGAGCCCACTTTGCCAGGGCACCCCCCCCCCCCACCAATTCTGACACCGGGGCTCGCTCACTCCCTCACTCCGCCGTCCCGCAAAGCGAGAGCGGTGCCAACAATTAAATAATTCCCCCATCGCCCGGTGGGGGGTGGGGGGCCAGCGAGTTCGGCCTACCGCACTGCGCGGGGTGAGCGTCTTACCGTAGCGGTTTTGTAAAAACGCAAAAAAAATCCCTACGACCGCGCTTGTTGTTGTTGCTGTGCATGGCACAAGCAAGACGCCGGCGGGCGCTGGGTAGGGGTGGGGGTGAAGCGGCCGGCGCTTGTTGACGGCGCTGAGCGTGCAGCCGAGCGAGCACCTGCCCGACGGGCGGAGCCGGCGTGTCGCGGAGTCGAACCGTCGGCGGCGGCGAGCGTGCGTGGATCGGCGAACCCAGTGGGGCTAGCGCCGCCCATCGGCGCTTAGTCCCACAGGCCGGCGTAGTTGCCGTGCAGCCCCGAGGGCAGTGGGCCGCCTGCCACGAAGAGCTTGGTGCCTGACGCGTCGTAGCAGTGCGTGTACGCCGCGTTGGGGAAGTGGTCCATGTCGGAGAAGTAGTCGCGCCACGTGTCGTCGTGGTTCTGCGTGCGGGCGGCATCGGGTGGTGGGGAGTGCGACAAGAGCGTGGGTTACTGTATCAGCTGGGGAGCTAATGGAGAGAACAGAGTGCGGGGAGAACACCCAAACACGCGCGAGAATACATCGCTCTTAGGTCCACGATTCGTAGGGGCCGGCAGCGGGCGCATCAAGACGCGCCGGTCGATTAAAATCTATTTCTTGCGCTGAATCGTGCATGTGCAGTAGATCGGAATGCTCTTCATTCCGAACTACTGCTGCATCATGCGTTGAACTTTGATGATGACAGGAGTGGTGGCCAGAGGCGGAAACGAGAGGGAGGACGTCCACCACAGAGACGGAGCGGCGAAATCGGCGGGTGCCCTGGAGCTGGACGGAATGCTGCATCGTCATTCCGGGGGCCGCAGTGGCGAGATGTTAATTACCTCGCCGGGTATACAGGAGGCCTGTATACAGGTAGTCCTCGACTTACGATGGAGATGCGTTACGACGACCCCATCGTAAGTCAAAAATATCGTAAGTCGAAGATGGCCTAGCCTACCCAGGAGTCTTAAAGAATGGTGATAATTTAGCAAAACAGAGCAATTTACAGTACCGTACTGTATAAACTATATACTGTATGTATTTATTTAAAGCTTTCGTGACTGCAGGGATTCATATTCTTGGTTCTTTTTTACCGAAAGAACCAAGAAATATATACTGTATGTATTTATTAATTACAATACTGTATTGCACAGTAAAATGTAAAGTAAAAAAACAAGGTAAATTCTTAACCTAACCAATATGAACTGCAATTTAATAGAAAAAATTTTCAGGAAACAATCCTATCTGCTATAAAAACTTTTAACATGCATTGAACGTATCGTATCGTGGTAACCCAACCGCTGGCGGGAGATGTGTACATCCCGGCAGCGTCCCAACGTACAGTATCGTACCTCGTACGCTGCTGCGTTTGCCTGCCGCGCGAAATTTAAAATATTTTACAATTTTGTCATATCGCAATCGCCATCGTAAGATCGAAATATCGTAAGTCGGACCATCGTAATTCGGGGACTATCTGTATTTGGAGTTTCTATGTTCTCCCGATGGTTGCGTGGATTTTTCTTCCTTCACATTTAGAATCAACGTGCGTTCAGAGTATTTGACTGCTATGGATTTCCACATGATGATAAGCCACTTCTGATAAAGAGCTCCCATAGCTCAGTGCGGCCTTACCTGGTGAAATAAAAATTTTGCGTAATAGTTTTAGAGCCCAAACAGGGATGCGCGCGGGGGATCACCGCTCCGCTCCGCAATCGCGAAACGATGCGGCAGAAAAATAAATAATAAAGCCGAGCGCACAGCGCCGGCGGGCGTACCAGCCAGCCACGCGCCGTCGACAGCTTGAGCACGTCGCAGTACTTGGGCTTCAGCTCCTTGCTGCCGCGCGCGCTGCCCTCGCCCTGAGACGCCGCCCGCTCCAGGAACTTCTGCGCGCGGATGTCGTAGAAGAGGACGGAGCCTTGCCCCGTGCCCACCGTGATGACGTGCTCGTAGAAGCTCACCGACCGGATGCCTGCGGGAACAACGGTACGGCGGGGCGGTGGGTTCGGGCGCCACACGGCTGCAATTAGGATTCGAGCCGACAGCGCGTCCCAACGCAAGACTGCTCCCCGGTGATACGGTGCGGGCGGCGTAGGGGGTAGGGCAGTAAAGTCCACCAGAACAGCCACCACCATCATTACCACCTCCACTGCCACCGCAACCACCGACTGCCGCCCACCACTGCCACTACCGCAACCATCAACACCACTGCCACCATCGCTGCTACCAGCGCCAAGACAAAGATCACATTGTATAGCCTTGAACCGACTGCAATATTTTGCTGTCTTTTCTTGGATTTTCTGTTTGCACATAGTCACTTTAAGATGTTTTCTTGTTCACGTTTTTTTTTTTTGTTGCGGTTGCACCCAATTCAAGAGCCGAATGGCTCACAGGGCTATACCTAATAAATGAAACTTGAAAACTTGACACTGTTGGAGCACGTGTTGTTTGCGAGCACTTGCGAAGGCTGGCACGGCACTCGAGGGGTGTTGGGTGGCCAACTCCACACTTTGGCCGCCATTGCCTACCCCAGCGCCGATGTTTACAAACCGCACCAGGCATTCATTTAAAGCCACTGCCACTGGTTGCGAGCGGGAATTGAACTCAGATGTCGCCGGCTTCAGACCGCGGTGCACTTACCACCACACTATCGCTCCCCACATCGCGACGACCGCTACAACCGCCGACACCGCCGCCCGGCACGGTGACTCACCGCTGCCCTTCTCGCGCGAGTTGACGGATCGCGGGCCCTGGGTGGTGCGCGGGTCGAGCAGCGACACGTGCGATTGCGAGCCCACGGCGTACACCGACCACTCGTGCCCGTACGCCAGGCACACGTTCTCTCGGCAGTGTGCCAGCTTCCGCGACATGATCTGTGGGGGTGGGGGGGGAGACCGGCGGCGGGGCAGGGGGGGGCGCAGTGAGCACGTGGTGGTGGGGGATACACCCCCACCGCCTGCTCATCTCGAAGCCAAGTGAGCATCATCGTCAGCCGTCATCTATCCACTACTGGGCCAGGAGAGGCGGTGAGCATGCAGACCCACCTCTCTGTCTCAAGCTAAGGCACCTTTATTATGAATAATATTGGTCGCGAAAGCCTACGTGATAAACTTATCATCATTATCGTTGTCGGCTATGCTTGATCCACTTTCAGATGAATAACTTCCCCAAGCCAACGCACGCGCAATGTAACGATCTATCTAGCGCTGGAGCACGAGCCGTTTTCACCGAGTGACTCTCCCAGGGATTCATAGTCACAACGGCCTGGAGACGCTACTGTGTCACGGCAGGTCACACACACACACACGCTCTAAGGAAAGCTGTCTCGGGTGTGGACCGATCAACTTCAAGGACAGTGCATACATTATCAGAGTTATATTTTTTGTTTGCATTATGACTGCAGGTATTGTGGTCTATGCAAACATGACTCCTCATAAAAAAAGTGTCAGTTTTGTTGCCAGATAAAAGGGTAAAAAACAAATTATCATATTTTTTACTGGCAAATGAGGTACCAATGGATTAGACACGTTCCTTACACCTTGCACATGGAACCAAAACAACCCTTGTAGACAACAAGTATAACCCGTAAAAACAAAGTTTTTCACTATAAATCCTTCATATGCGTGGCGGCTAGAGTCCTCTCGTCCTCTGGCTTGAGATGGCTGCCACCTATGGGTCAGATGATTGTCTGCCACCATTAAGCAATTGGTAAATACATATTTAATCTGTTTTCCCTAAACAGTGTAAAATTTTGGAAAAAAAAATTCACGAACATTAATTGTCTGACACAACGAGTCTGTGTGCAAAATGTCAGCTCGATTGGATCACGGGAAGTGGATTAAAAAACGAGCGAAAGATTTGCACGGTCGTAAGCAAGCAAGCAAGCACGCAAGCAAGCAAGCGAACTTAATATAAAGGATTTAAAAACCACCAGCCGCCACAGTGCGCACACACCCCCCCCACCGCCCCTGTGATTCGTGCTCACGGAAGCCTCCACCGCCTTAAACACGGACGGCCGCTCAGCCGCCACTTGGCAATGCCGCGGCGTTCCAAGCAGCGCCGCTCTCACCTTGTCCAGGCTGTTTTCGGTCTTCCACAAGTGAAAATACCCGTCCAGCGAGACCGCTCCAAGCTCCTTTAAAGAAAAAGAAAAAAACACGCGCTCATGAGCAGGAAATCGGCTATTTATTTTCAGACCCGCTTGAGCCTCTTGCCAAAAACCCCAACAGGTGAATGCATAGCGGCCACCTCAATGTGTGTGTGAGTGGGGGACAAGTGAAAACTTTCAACGTCGACATTCATCGTGCCGGTTTATCGCCGCACAAACGTTGCGAAAACTCTCTTCCCGTGGGCGTCGAAGAGGTGTCCATACCCTACCTTGCTACGAGGAGAAGGCGGCCCCAGCAAAAATGCGGACTCCAGCTTTTCCGTCCGCATGAAAACAAGCGTTTCCCCTCCTTGCACGCGTGGATTTTCTCCGTATGCTCCGGTGTCCTCCCGCATATACTCATTAATTGGCCGATAACACCTTCCCTTCTATTTTCTTCGGCTGTCCATCGCAAACGATGACGAACGGCTAGCAACAGCAGCAGCGTTTTCCTGTGCGTCGGTATGATGAGAGCCCAGCCCTTGAGCGAGAAGCGTCGGCTCCAACGCGTGGGCAAGAGTTGCTGTTCATCTGCCGACAGGCCAGGCTAACAGCTTACTACACAACAAAGGTCGCAATCGGGTACCCGACACCCGTACCCTACCCGATACCCGGCTACCCGTACCCGGCTGGGTACGGGTAGCCGTTTGCGACCCTGGTGCGGCCGGGTATGGGTAGGCCGTGAGTCACTGGTGAGTCACCGTTTGTCACTGATTTCGGGTAGGGTACGGGTAGGGAACGGGTACCCATACCCGGCCGGGTACGGGTACCCATTAGCGACCCTGGTGCAGCCGGGTACGGGTACGGGTAAGGAATCAAAACCCGTTTGCGACCTCTGCTACACAAGAGGACCGCAGAGGGTGGGGCAATTGTTGGTCACGCCGTCACATTGCTTGTCTGTGGATCCTCGCGCCCCCAAGTCGTCCTCTCTTCTGAGAGCGATGAGCGGGTTGCTGTGCGGGGGCGGTGTGGTGCAAGTTGTAAATCAAGCCCCCCCCCCCCCCGAGTGTACCGTAACATCCTTTAGAAACGGCAATCAAATTATCACAGACGCCAACGCCAATTGCGTGATCAAACCTTCATAACCAACGTACCCTACCCGATACCCGGCTACCCGTACCCGACCGGGTACCCGTTTGCGACCCTGGTGCGGCCGGGTACGGGTAGGCCGTGAGTCACTGGTGAGTAACCGTTTGTCACTCATTTCCCAACGTCTTGTCTCTTCTCACAATTCAAGTTCCTAGAATCAACCCACCCACGCTTGCAACATGGCTTCATCCCAGAGGTCGCAATCGGGTACCCGATACCCGTACCCTACCCGATACCCGGCCGGGTACGGGTAGCCGGGTATCGGGTAGGGTACGGATACCCGTTTGCGACCCTGGTGCGGCCGGGTACGGGTACGGGTAAGGAATCAAAACCTGTTTGCGACCTCTGCTTGGAGGCCAGCCTTACCTGCTGGCTGCCATTGAAGGCGAGGGCGCGCACTTTGCACGTGAAGGGGTTGATGTAGTGAGCGGGGATGTCCTCTAGAGCGCGAGGGCCCACGTGGCAGTAGCCGGGGACGGACTGCTCATCCTCCTCCGCCGCCTTCGCCGACGCTGCCGCCAGCGCCTCGTCGCCAACCTTCCCACAGGCCCATGGAGCCGTCTCGCGAGCCTGCGCCGCCGCCACGCCAGCCGGCCACACGTTAAGAGTGAAACTCGGCTTTCACCACGCCAACGAGCGCGTCGGTGTGAAAATGCGATCCGCTGCAATGCGCCGCCGGTACGCCATCAGTGCCCCACCGTCACGATGCGATAAGCAGCAACGCAGAAAGCCACGGCAAGATGAGGCCACTCCGACACGCGCGTTGTCACACCACAACACGCCACATCGCTGCAGTACATATCATCACACCAAGGCACACCACCACAATACTCCGCAAGAGGCCGCACCATCCAATCAAACAAGCAGTCCAAAGCCCACCAAGTCACAACACAACATTACAACACAATGTTACAGCAATCGTTATCTAACCAAGCCACAACAATGATGTGTCACACCACTTACTGAAACATAAGCAAACCACAGCACTCCAAGCCACGTGCATCATGCCAAACAACACCAGTATCATGAACGCACCGGTACACAATGCCTTGCAATGCCCTGCCAGTTTAAGACCATCATACCACACCATGGCACACTACACTGTGCTACATCACCACACTATACCACGCTACACTGCCCCACGCTACAGCACACCATGCCACGCTACGTCACAATGTTACACCACACTCTAAGCTACCCAGAAAGCCCCACATCACATGATATCACGCTACATCACACCACGCTACGATACACTGTGCCACGCCACACTACGCAGCGTCACACTGCACCGCATCAGAAAGCGCTTCAAATAGTCAGGCGACTGCTCCGGCCGCGGGGCGCAAGTGCAATGTTTGATATGTGCGGGCTGGGCCCAAACTACCGACCTGTGACAACGAAGCTGTCGCTGACCCAGGCGATGGAGAAGATCCAGTCCTTGTGTCCGCCCTGGCACCCCCACAGGACAACGGAAAATGTTTATTAATACGCTGGGTCTGCCAAGTCACGGGCCTTCTCGCGGCCACGCTTCCATTTGGCAAAACCGCTTCGACCCGCCACCAACAGTTTAGCAGGCCGATGTGCGGAACCGACTTCGTGAACGGGAACATTTGGGACGAGCCACGGGAGTGGGATCGTGGCCGTGCGATCCGAAACAGTGGGTCGGCGAAGAAATATCCACGCGCAAATAAAATCAATCAGTGATAGAGGCAAACTAAGGCAGCTTGAGGACGATCAGGGATCGGTGTAATTGCCCGAGGTTTACAGAATGAGACTGAAGGATTCCTTGAAATCAACGGGAAAATTTGGGACGAGCCACGGGAGTGAACGGGAAAATGTGGGATGAGCCACGGGAGTGGGATCGTGGCCGTGTGATCCAAAACAGTGGATCGGCGAAGAAATATCCACGCGCAAATCAAATTAATCAGTGATAGAGGCAAACTAAGGCAGCCTGAGGACGATCAGGGATCGGTGTAATTGTCCGAGGTTTACAGAATGAGACAGAAGGATTCCTTGAAATCAACGCCAATGCCGGAAACTCACGAAGCCAAAACAGAGCTGCTCGTGTTACTGCTACGAGAAAGGTTACGCTTGCAAGGTCAACACAGCAGGGGTGACGGCGCACAGTGTGTGCGCACTGTGATGTCCACCACACAACTCGAGGTGAACGGGGAGTAGTTTGAAGCCTCACGATTTGTCGTTTATGCAAACAAGGTCTTAATAAAATGTAACAAAAATTATTATCATTGACCCCATGGTTTAGATTATCCTCAGCACTGCTTATCCCCTCTCACATTTACAATAGCCCAGCACGTGACACAAAGCCCAGTTCAAAATTCATACAAAGAACAGGCGTGTGTCAATGGGGGGGGAGGAGGGGTTTGAATATTGGCTGTAAACCCACATGCCTGCGACGACGATTACGACGACGGAAATAATAATCACGATGAAAATAATGATGACAAGATGACGGTGGAATATTGAATACAATGATGACCGTCATCACGAGAACGATAGTGAGGGTCAGATTTTGGCATAAATCTCCCTCCATGTCATTTATTACCAATACATCTCAATAGGCTTTCCAATGGTATGCATAAAATATGCATATCAATTTAGGCTAATGTGGTGAACCAAACTGTGCAAATGTGTTTTACTGAGGTGGTAAATTAGAGACAATTTTTTATTACAAAAAATGGATGCAAACTGTCCATTATCCGAGGGCAGAGTATTTTCTTTTTCTAAGCAACTCAAATAATAATTTCCATTTTAATTTCAGAGGCAAACTAACTCGAATCAAACTGTGACGCAGACAGGTGATGACACTTACAAACAATCCCTGTTCACGTAAGCTGCGCCAACCTTTACTAAAACCCTGTCCCCAACAACCACCACGACCGTCACACCGCCCGGCTAACCCGGCCGGCCCGTCTCACTCACGTCTCCGACGCACACGGGGTCCAGCGTGGGCAGGCGGTACACGGCGAGGCTGTTGGGGTTGGCGCCGCCGGTCGCGAGCAGCGTGCGAGACGGGTTGATCTCGATCGCGTGAATCCCGCAGCCCGGGTGCTCTGGTTCAGCGCCACCTCCTCCTCCTCCACCCACGGCAGCGCCGGCGATTCCAGCGGCACCGCCGACACCGGCGCCGCCATCGCGCAGCGTCGGGATCTTGGTGAGGCGTCCCGTCACCAGGTCCAGCACAAAGAGCTGCCGTGCACCGAAGCCCGCGAGCACAATGGCCACATTTACATTTTACTGGACATCTGTGAAAAAGTGCTCGACAGCTCATCGGATTTCTCCTGCATAAATAAATATTCAGATTTAGTTTCAATTCAAACTTCTGTCTACATTTCGATTTAAAGCTTTCGTGACTGCAGGGATTCATCTTCTTGGTTCTTTCGGTAAAGTCACGCAGAAGGGAAATAATACAATAATAAAAATAAAACATAATAAAATAATTCTCACGACGTTTCGGCCACAACGCAAGCAGCCGTCCTCAGGTGAAGAACAGGTCTGTCGGAAAGACAGCATCCTCAGGTGAAGAACAGGTCTGTCGCTGTCTTCTCAACAGACCTATTCTTCACCTGAGGACAGCTGCTTGCGTTGTTGCCGAAACGTCGTGAGAATTATTTTATTATGTTTTATTTTTATTATTTTATTCTGTCTACATGTCTAAGTTTATTATGTTCCAACTGCGTCATCACTAACGACAGGCACATCTTCGTTACGGGACTCCCCCTGGAGCTGTTGTGTGTACCACTTGCAGTGCAAGAACTTTTTATTTCTTAATTGCTCAATGGGGTATATAGGTTTATTCTGTTTCTGTCCAGCAACTTGAGATACAATCGTATTTAGATGTGACGTAAATATAAATTGTCATTGCTGTTAAAGACACATTGACAGACAGACAAACTTTGATGGACAGTTGTACATATGGCCAGAGAATTAAGAGAGCCGTATACATGGACAGACAGCCATACCCATCAACCCATACGGTTTACCCGTATTCTTGTGCAGGGAAATTAAATGTTCCGGTCCATACGGCGTACAGACGTTTCAATACGAGTAAAAAAATTAAAAAGTGTCTATTTGTTTGTGTTTCTCCCTTGCAACTGGATTTTGCAGGATGACCGTTGACATTTACAAGGGTACGGGGTGACCAATAAGGTCTGCATTGGTCTAATGAGGTATGCACCGATAAGGGGTTGCAGGTACGGACAGCTGAACAGTCGGTCTTACATACGGACAGACAGACCTCGAGACACACGCACAACACAGAAGGACAGACGGCCGCGAAGACGAAGCCTCACACCAAGCGCCACCCCATGGGCCTCACCGTGTTGCACTTGGTTCCGCACACCACCTGCCGATGGCTGAGCCACTGCGACGCGAACACCTTGTTGAGGGAGCCCAGGCTGTACTCGCGCTCGCGCAGGAGGTACGGCAGGCGTTGGGCCGTGTAGCTGCCCAGCCCGTTGCCAACTCCACCGCCACCGCCGCCGCCGCCGCCGCCAGAGTGGCCGCTGGCCGAGCCGGCCTGGCGACTCTCCACAAAGCTCACAAGCGAAGTGGGTGGCCTCCTCACGCGTGACCGCTTCGGGCACAACTCCTCCGAGCAAGACTGCGCTCCGGCGAAGAGAACAACAATTCAGTTTAACACGTAGGCTTTCGCGACCAATATTATTCATAATCAACGTTTTTGGGTTTAGATCGCGTTATTTATAAATGTGTCGTAACCCTCCACCACCCGACACGGCCAATCAGTAAAAAAGTGTCACGATGATGCTGAATGCAATTACCAGCGAAACGTCGTAGTCAAATTGTAAACGTTGTGGTTTCACGCTTCAACACACCGTTGGGCTAAAGCAGTGAGTGAACTATTTGTCTTTTGTCAACGTAACACTTTTTTACTGATTGGCCGTGTCGGGTGGTGGAGGGTTACGACACATTTATAAATAACGCGATCTAAACCCAAAAACGTTGATTATGAAGAACAACAATTACAATTTTTATATATATAGCGTCCACACGACAAACATCACATCTCGAGAGGCTTTATAAATTTTTTAAAAATGAAATTACAAATATAATCCTATGGTTCATCTTTTTATTTTGCGTGGCGTGTCGTAGAGAGATAAGCGACTGGTTTTCTGAACAGCAGCAAGCGTTATAAATCGACGTCGATGTTGTTTGGCGATTGATGGTTAGCAGACCGGTGTCTCCGAGGAGGAACGTCGAAGCCAGGAGGGTTTGAGATGATTTGATCGAGAATGAGATATTTATTTGATGCGTATACCATGAGCTTAAGAATCCATCACTTTTACACGACAGAGTCGAAATATGGTACCATACAGTAATGGTTAACCTCTTCCAAGCAGTGCAATGATTAATTTAATCTCATCAGGCGGTGAGTGAGCACCAACAATTTATCTGCAGTTCTCCATATACTCAGCAAAACGATTGTTTATTAATGGCCAGCGTGGAAGAGTAGGCCAAATAACCCTCTATTCTACAGAGCTCCATAGCTGTCAACCCATACGGTGTACCCCGTATTCTTGTACAGGGAAATTTAGTTTACAGATCCATACGGCGTACAGCCGTTTCAATACTAGCAAAAATAAGTCCTATCTAAAACAACTTTTTAAAAAACACGCTTTTATGAAATGTGCCGTACTAGTAATGGAAGAACTACACGACTCCAGGAAGTGGCCCCGAAGCTTGCCATAAAGTACGAGACAGTGGCCAATTACAGCCAACGTCAATTTACCGTGGACAATTAGACCCGAGCCGAAACATAACATATAAAAAATAATGTTTATTATGTTGTTTGGCGATTGATGGTTAGCAGACCGGTGTCTCCGAGGAGGAACGTCGAAGCCAGGAGGGTTTGAGATGATGTTTATTTTATTTTTTATGATAGACCATAGTATTGTCATCTGTACGACATAAGTATACCAAGTTTGCAGTCGGTACCACATTGGGAAGTGGGTTTAAATTGAGTTACAAGATTTGAGTATACAACAACGACAACAGACAGAGTTAAATAAAAGCGTGGAGAAATAATTTGTATCTTTGTTTGTGATTGGACTTTATAGGATGAACGTTGAGATGTATAATGGGCACGGGGTGACCAATGAGATCTAAATTGGTCTCTAATAATTAGGGCACTTCGAAGGAAGGGGTTGACAGGTACGAATCTCTCCTCGATGTGCTGGAGGCCCTTTTCTGCCGACAGCGGCAGTTACGGAGCTGCGCTTCCTGCTGTTGGTTTCACACCTGATGACGGTTGCTTGATCGAAACGTCGTGACCGATTATTTTTTCTTCTACCTACGTGACTTTAACGAAAGAACCAAAGATTATGGATTCCTGCAGTCACGAAAGCTTCAAATCAAGAGTGAACATTATAGGAGTACAGCATCAGCAGTGCTAACGCAAGCAAGGCGTTCATACTGTTAACGCGTTACAAGCCTCAGCGGTGTTAATGCGAGTAACGCGTTCGTACTGCTAACGCGTTACTAGCCTCAGTGGCGCTAACACGCGATAGTAACGCGTTACCACTCGCGATAGTAACGCGTTACTACCGCGAACGCGTTGCTATCGCGATTAGTAACGCGTTACTACTGCTAACGCGAGTAGTAACGCGTTCGTACTGTTAACGTGTTACTAACGCGATAGTAACGCGTTCGCAGGCAGCGGCTGTTGCGGCCCGGGCATTCGACCGTTCGCGCGGGTCGCTAAATCGCCGCCGCCCCCCGTAGGCCCCTCGTAGGCCTGCCCAGGACCCTCGTAGGCCCACGTAAGGCCCCTCCCGTAGGCCTGCCCAGGCCCCCCGTAGGCCTGCCCAGGCCCCCCGTAGGCCTGCCCAGGCCCCCGTAGGCCCCACTGTAGGCCCGCGTAAGCCCCCCCCGTAGGCCTGCCCAGGCCCCCCGTAGGCCCCACTGTAGGCCCGCGTAAGCCCCCCCCGTAAGCCTGCCCAGGCCCCCCGTAGGCCCCACTGTAGGCCCGCGTAAGCCCCCCCCGTAGGCCTGCCCAGGCCCCCCGTAGGCCCCACTGTAGGCCCGCGTAAGTCCCCCCCGTAGGCCTGCCCAGGCCCCCCGTAGGCCTGCCCAGGCCCCCGTAGGCCCCCCTGTAGGCCTGCCCAGGCCCCCCGTAGGCCTCACTGTAGGCCCGCGTAAGTCCCCCCCGTAGGCCTGCCCAGGCCGCCTGTAGGCCTGCCCAGGCCCCCGTAGGCCCCCCTGTAGGCCTGCCCAGGCCCCCGTAGGCCTCACCTGCTCGTCGGCGCAGTGCTTACGCTTCCTGCTAGCTGCGCGTTTCGTCATTCTTGCGGCCTCCTCGCTCTAGCGCCGACATTAGTTTGAATTTTAATCGGCGTGGAGGTTTTTTTTGTTCGTTATTTTAAAAAATATATTTAAACCAGACGAGGACGACGACGACTACAACGACAACAAAAACGACCCCGAAAGAAGTTAATTTTAAAAAGCGACACCCGCTAACGTTCGGCGGCGGGATCGCGCTCAGTGACCAACTGGGCCCCGGACCCCCCCCCGCCCCGCCCCTCGCCCCCCGCCCCGCCCCCCGCTCGCTCCACGTCACCGCGCGCCTCACTACACAGGCGGCCATCTTACGCAAGGTGACGTGGAGTCGTTAGGGAACAGCGGCGCGATGACGTCACGGCTTGCCCCCCCCCCCCTCCCACCAACCCCCCCCTCCCACCAACCCCCCCTTCCCCCCAACCCCCCTCCCACCAACGCCCCCCCCTCCCACCAACCCCCCCCCTCCCACCAACCCCCCCCCCTCCCACCAACCCCTCCTCCCCCTCCCACCAACCCCCCCTCCCACCAACCCCCCCCCCTCCCACCAACCCCCCCCTCCCACCAACCCCCCCCCTCCCGCCAACCCCCCCCTCCCGCCAACCCCCCCCTCCCGCCAACCCCCCCCCTCCCGCCAACCCCCCCCTCCCGCCAACCCCCCCCCCTCCCGCCAACCCCTCCCCCCCCTCCCACCAATCCCCCCCCTCCCCCAACCCCCCCCTCCCACCAACCCCCCCCCCTCCCACCAACCCCCCCCCCTCCCGCCAACCCCCCCCTCCCGCCAACCCCCCCCTCCCACCAACCCCCCCCCCTCCCACCAACCCCCCCCTCCCACCAACCCCCCCTCCCACCAACCCCCCCCCTCCCACCAACCCCCCCCTCCCACCAACCCCCCCCCTCCCGCCAACCCCCCCCCTCCCGCCAACCCCCCCCCCCTCCCGCCACCCCCCCCTCCCGCCAACCCCCCCCCTCCCGCCAACCCCTCCCCCCCCTCCCACCAATCCCCCCCCCTCCCACCAACCCCCCCCCTCCCACCAACCCCCCCCCCCTCCCGCCAACCCCCCCCCTCCCGCCAACCCTCCCCCTCCCGCCAACCCCCCCCCTCCCACCAATCCCCCCCCTCCCACCAACCCCCCCCTCCCACCAACCCCCCCTCCCACCAACCCCCCCCTCCCACCAACCCCCCCCCCCTCCCACCAACCCCCCCCCTCCCGCCAACCCCCCCCCTCCCGCCAACCCCCCCCTCCCACCAACCCCTCCCACCAATCCCTCCCACCAACCCCCCCCCCTCCCAGCAACGCCCCCCTCGAACCCCCTCCTCCTCCTCCCAACCTCCCACCAACGCCCCCCCTCCCTCCATCCCCCCAACCCCCACCATCTCCAACCTCCCGCCCCTGTACTTACAGCTGAGGTGCGGCTGTACCCCCTCACCTCCCCTCATCCCCCCAGACTTAGTGGGGGGTGCGGCTGTTCCCCCCTCCCCCTCTAACCCCTACGCAAGATGGTCTCCGGGGCTGGGTTCACAACAAATCGCATGGGCGTCGCCTGGGCTACTGTTGCTGCTGCTGCTGCACTGATCCACAGCCTCTCTCCATTGCCAGCAACAAAGATGTCTCTTTGGGGCCGTCCATAAATGACGTCACGCGATTTTGGACGATTTTTGACCCCCCCCCCCCACCTTGTCACACGGCGTCACAAGTCAGACCCCCCCCCTCAAATATGACGTCACAAAGCTCTGCCCTCCCCCCCCCCAAAAAACACATTTCCATTTTGAAAATAAGACATGCTTCAAATGGCTTTAAACTATTGTCATTGTAGTGCGTATTTAATGTGGCGCTGCACTCTGATGTTGTAGGAGTGTTGTTATAGCAATTAGTGTTGTTATAACAATTCTATATTTCGATTTAAAGCTTTCGTGACTGCAGGGATTCATCTTCTTGGTTCTTTCGGTAAAGTCACGTAGAAGGGAAGTAATAAAATAATAAAAATAAACATAATAAAATAATTCTCACGAAGTTTCGGCCACAACGCAAGCAGCCGTCCTCAGGTGAAAACCAGGTCTGTCGAGACTTTACCGAAAGAACCAAGAAGATGAATTCTATATTGATTTAAAGTTGCGCATTTTGATGTGACGTCACATTTCTCAACCCCCCTCCCTCGTCACACATCGTCACAAATGTCTGACCCTCCCCCCCCCCAGGTGCGTGACGTCATTTATGGACGGCCCCTTATGATTAAAGGCGAACGGTGCTGAGGCCAGTGCCGGATTAAGCGAGTCCGGGACATGTAGCATATGTTGTTTTCAAGGGGCCCTAAATATAAAAAAACAAATATTAAAACATTTTTTTTACTTGTGTAGTGCTCTTAAATGAAGACACACACTACGTGGTTGGAGGCAATCCGTTTATTAACACTTCCTTTAATCAGCACCTTTACGGAGATGATTCTATAATTGGTGTAGACGTCCTTGTCACTACTCAACCCCCTGTGCACCACGAACCGACGTGACCTCTGACCCACTGAACGTGACTCACTCAATGGACCCTCGATCATCTCCGCGCTCCCCTTTTATCCTGTTCAGCGCTCTGTCCCCCTAGTGGCGGATATACCGTCACTACACTTGCATAGTAAGGTCATTGTATTTCTATTAAATCCTTTATATTAAGTTCGCATGCTTGCTTGCGTGCTTGCTTGCTTGCTTACGACCGTGCAAATCTTTCGGTCGTTTTTTAACCCACTTCCCGTGATCCAATCGAGCTGACATTTTGCACACAGACTCGTTGTGCGAGACAATTAATGTTCGTGAAAACATTTTTCCAAAATTTTACACTGTTTAGGGAAAACAAATTAAATATTTAATTACCAATTGCTTAATACTGGCAGACAATCATCTGAGCCATAGGTGGCAGCCATCTCAAGCCAGAGGACGAGAGGACTCTAGCCGCCACGCATATAAAGGATTTAGAGTGAAAAACTTTGTTTTTACGGGTTATACTTATTTCATTTGCTATACAGCCAGATAATACGACAAATCGCTAACTTTAAACACCCAGTCGTTCATAAAAGTTGAAGGCGGTATCGTAATATAGTAATAGAGCAAGTGCAGAATCACTGAACTGGAATTGGTGGCTTGAAAGCATTTAGCGTGGGGCCCTTGAAAGTGTGGGGCCCGTTGCTACCACATGAAAAAAAAAAAAGATTTTATTTTTATTAATTTTAATTTCATTTTTTACCTACGTGACTTTACCGAAAGAACTAAGAGTATGAACTTATGGATAATAATTACTTCGTGTTAAACTACTGCTCATTTGATACGCGCATTGTCTTCGTACTGTCCACCTTTTGGCGTTCTCTGGGCTGACACTAGTCAGACTAGGCCATAAAAAGCCTGTCTCTCTCGTGTAGGCTCATACGTTTCAAAGACAATGCATATATTATCACAGCATGTTTTGTTTACATGTTCACCACAAGTACGTGTGGTTAATGCAGACTTGATTCCTTGCAAAAAGGTATCTGGTGTTTCAACATCTTAACACCTGTTTTATTGCCAGAAAGGCTAAAACCTATTCTTATTTTTCGTACTTTGATACTGGACAAAAAGGTCCCATGATTACTGCTCATTTGTTGCTGTTCCAAAATGAAAATGAGTTATCACTGCAACTCGTCACACACGCACAGAACAAAGATGAACTCTCGTGTAATAGTTTATGTTATTGCCGGTGTCTTGACATTGTCTGCATGTAAGAAGCTCTGTAAATTGGAATCTGTTGTGTCTGAATCCTACAAGGCGCAAAACCAAGACCCTCATTGCGGGATGCCACAAGACGTTGAGTTACATTGTTTTCATAGCTTTATTTTGGTGATTTTGAAAACGTTTTGGTTTAACCATGTTTGTTTGTTGTAGTACAGAGTTAGCCTAATAACTTTAATCTACATTGTCTTATGGCTGTCATTGTTTGACTTGGGATTTTTGCACACAGCGTTGAAATATGGTGTTTTTTTCTGGAAGACTTTGCTGTTTTTTCCAGGATTTTTCTTTTGCGTGTAGTCACTTTAAGATGTTTCTTGTTCATGTTTTTGTTTTGTTGCGGTTGCACCCGAGTCAAGAGCCGCATGGCTCACATGGTTATACCTGATAAATGAAACTGAAATTAAACTGAGTGGCGTCACATGGAGTGGTCACGGGGTAAAAACAAAGACAAAGCCCCCCTTCCCGCCCCTCCTGTATAACTTCTTGGCCGCCTTTGTCTCCCCAGTGGCGATGTTTACACACCACACCAGGTACTGCACTCGTTTGAGGCTGAGTCGACCGAGGGGAGGCCCATGACCGGTTCAGATAATCCGTCACTGGTGTTGGTCGTGAGCGGGAATCGAACTGGGGTCGCCAAGTTTGTAGGGCAGTGCGCTGACCGCTACAATACCGGTCACGGAGGTGCGGGTGATCACACGACCCGTCACTTGGACTGCTTTTGCTGTGGAGCTTTGTATGTGTACTGTATATTGGGGGGTCAGACACGTTACAACAACAAACAATGCAAAAACGCGAAACTGTCGATGTTTGGGTGGCTCTAACGCATGGCCCCACCCAGCTGGAACCCATCGGAATAGAAACATTAAAACTCAAGACGGCGAGTGTTTGCACAGGTGACGTTTATCATAAACCGGTTTTACTTTTCCACGGTTCGTACGGGAACATCATTTTCACCGAGCGGAGACACAGAGGTAAAGAGAGTACACACACCACTTTGGCACGGACACACGTCATCGATCAAAAGCCGGCGAGGAAACAACCGCGCGCCCGCCCGCCACTGCAACTGAAATGCGAAATCAACGATGATTGGCCACGCGATCACGAGATATATACGCTGTGGAATCCTCGAGCCGTAGGTAGCCTCATCGGGACAACACGAAGAGCACTCACTACGAGCGAATGAGGCGATACGTAGCACTGCAGAAGCAACACAAATGTGTCCGACTCAACGTCTTGGCACCCGCTCGGCCATTTTTCCTTCAACCAGGTGTGGGGTCCTGTCAAAAAATGATTCGCGTGGGTGAGCCGGCGTCTGCAGCATCGGCCGCGGTGACCGCTCGGCTTCTGAGTGCGCGCACGCAACGACGCGCGGGGGTTCCAAGCGTGGCGCATTTCCTACCGCGGTATTTAACGGCACAGCCGTGCATTTGTATGCGAGGTTTCAGTTTGGTGTTTTAGTTTGGTGTTTTAACATCTTAACACCTGCTTTGTTGCCGGACAAAAGGGGAAAACCTATTCTCATTTGTATACAATCGTCCTCCCCTACTGGCAGACTAATGCCCCACGAGGTAGGGCCGGTGCTGCGTACACCTCGCACCGCACAGGGACAGCTGTTGCTGGCGGCAGGGTGGGGGGGGGGTCAGAATGGTTGAGACGAGATGTCGGGGTAAGGCGCTTCGAGTTGCCGCCGATGCGTTCGAGCGGCGAGCGCCCCGTGTGCATGCGAATCCCCTGCCGACGTGCGTCAACCGGCGGATCAAACAAAGGGCGCGTTCGGCACGCGGCGGGCGCGGCGAGTCGCCTGTCTTACGGGACGTGGTTCACGTGCGCTTCTCCGGTACACTTTGAAGAAAACGTGGGAGGGCGGGAGGTGGGGGCGGCAGCCAGGGGGGGGAAGGGGGCGACACCTCGACTTAGGGAGAGTGTTTGGCGGGCGCCGGAACCTCCTCGTCGTGGGGGCCCCCGGCGGAGCTCGGCGTGTCGGGCTCTGCGCCCGGCGCCGCCGCCGCCGCCGCCACCGCCACCACCTCCTCGCTGTCGGCGGCGTCATCGTCGCCGCTGGGCAGGCGGTCGAAGCCGCCGGGCCGCCTCCGTCGCGCCAGCCACGCGCCCACGTCGAACTTCCCACCGCTCTTCTTGCCTGCGTGACAACAGAGATATACGGGGGGGGGGGGGGGGGGCTATGAGGCAGTGCCAGGGAATGTGAACACTTCAATTTTATTTGTATAATGCCAGATGCTTTGCAAGAAGAAAAATTTAATAAACTCTGTGCTATATGCACATGGAAACAAATGGGGTCTTAAGTCTTGACTTGAACAGGGGCAGAGTATCAGCTGCACGAAAGGGTAAGATGATCCTATGCAGCGCGAGCAGCAGAGGAGAAGGAGCGACCTCCCAAGAAACGAGGGCTGACTCTGGGCGGCTTAGCAAGGAGGCCTTTATTCCTGGAGCTAAGACGGTGTGCCAGATGGTAGATTGAGATGAGAGAGGAGAGGTATGGGAGGAAGGTTCTAGACCATGAAGATATTTTATCACAATCCAATCTTAAAATGGATCCGTGACTTGACAGGAAACCAGTGGATAAATTGTGTGTGTCCCCCCCCCCCGCCGAATATCCGATGAGATGGTTGGCTATGTACCGTCTGAAATAAATGCAACATACATCTGTTTCCCCTTCGACAAATATTCAGGAAATATGGTGCACACCTAGCGGAAGGTATATTTGTTCCACTGGCCAGGTTTTTTAAATCCTTTATATTAAGTTCGCTTGCTTGCTTAGGACCGTGCAAATCTTTCGGTCGTTTTTTAACCCACTTCCCGTGATCCAATCGAGCTGACATTTTCCACACAGACTCGTTGTTCGTGACAATTAATGTTCGTGAAAATTTTTTTCCAAAATTTTACACTTTTTAGGACAAAAATATTATATTTAATTACCAATTGCTTAATGGTGCAATGCAATCATCTGACCCATAGGTGGCAGCCATCTCAAACCAGAGGATGAGAGGACTCTAGCCGCCACGCATATAAAGGATTTATAGTGAAAAACTTTGTTTTTACGGGTTATACTTATTCCTGGTTGTGCCGTACAGCTCTCCGATTGTACTTGAGATTGTCCCGCGTGTTTGGCACGGTATGTGATATTTAGCTCCGCATGCTGGGAAGTATCGTCAAGAACTCACACGAAATTTATTTTTCCAAGACGAAAGTACTCTGCAAACCTACTGGCTATCAACAAAGATTCGCTCATGAAGCCATCCAGATATATAAACACAGACACAATTTCAACCGAGAAGATGGGTACAAACTGAGTAATCATCGGAAGGACGTTATTAACAAGTTTAAGTCATAACTGGCTATGATGTTTTCATCCTACCTGCCGATGTTAGCTGTTATTTCCGACTCTCTGAGTTGCATTTCCAGGTTGGATGTCTTTGCGTTGACAGGCTGAATGTCTCACTAGCACATCCATCATTGCGGTGGTTCTCTTACATTGACATGCTAATCTCTCACAATACAATGGCCACCTCCACAGCCTCAGGACGCCCTCCGATCTTACATTTACATGCAAATACCATCTCTAGCCCTGCCCACTTACCCTTGGGCTACACACAATGCAATGGCCACATCCACAGCTTTGGTGGCGCCCTACAGGCAAATCTCTCACAATACAAAGGCTACTGTCCCAGCCTCTGTGGTTGGACCATCTCTAGCTCCACCCACCTACCTTGATGCACCCATCTCAGGCCTATATAAGACCTTGTCTCAGCAGTTTTCTCTCCCTCTCACCTGAAGACGATTGCTTGTGTTGAGATCGAAACGTCGTGATATTTTATTATTATTTTTCTATCTACGTGGCTTTACCGAAAGACCCGTATAATATAATTGACTGTTGCCATTCATATGGGGAGTAGTGGCGCTGTGGTTAGCACAATATACTACGAACCGTAACCAACGATGAATTCGCATCCACAGCTAACTTTTAAGTGGCAAGTGATATCTAAACCGGTCCCGTGCGTTCCCTAGGTTGACTCGGCCTTAAACGAGGACCTAGTGTGTAATGTGTGTAAACGACAGCACTAGGGGAGACAAAGGCAGCCGGGGCGTGGTGTTAAACCAACTACTGCCTCGTTGGGTCGTGCCCGTCTGAAATAGATGCTCACCGATTCAAAGCTTTCGTGACTGCAGGGATTCATCTTCTTGGTTCTTTCGGTAAAGTCACGTAGAAGGGAAGTAATAAAATAATAAAAATAAAACATAATAAAATAATTCTCACGACGTTTCGGCCACGAAGCAAGCAGCCGTTCTCATGTGAAGAACAGGTCTGTCGGGAAGACAGCGTCTGAATTCATTCAGACGCTGTCTTTCTGACAGACCTGTTCTTCACCTGAGGACGGCTGCTTGCGTTGTGGCCGAAATTATTTTATTATGTTTTATTTTTATTATTTTATTATTTCCCTTCCACGTGACTTTACCGAAAGAACCAAGAAGATAGATGCTCACCAACAGCACTTGTCCCCAAGCAAGGCGATACGGGGGATCTTTGTCAATGTATTTTCTCGTGGTACCTCTCAGAGAGCCGAGGAAACCTCCAGGAGACGACTCAGCCTCCCGATGTTCCTCCTTCTCCCCTGCAAGGCACAACAGCAGCGCCACAACCACAACGGTCAACATCGAAACTGCAAAGGCGCAGCGCGCAGTTTTGCACGGACGCGCGCAAACCACGGAACACAATTGGGGGAGGCAGCAGCGAGAACCTGCTGCAGCGACTGCCCCCAGCTCTGTGGCCCTACGTTGGGAAGTTTGGCCAACTCCATCAATGAGCGATGATGAGAATCAGAATATTCATACTGCAGGAGGAATCCGATGAGCTATGAAGCTCTTTATTCACAGATGTCCAGGAGTGAAAAGTACAAGAATGGCGACCAAATCACCCAAACGCATACAAACTAAAACCATCCCCACCCTACCAGACAAAGCCCAGAGGTATTAACTGATACCTAACGTTAAAAGAGAATCGTGAGAATGTTTTTCTTCTTTATACAAGTATAACCCGTAAAAACACAGTTTTTCACTATAAATCCTTTATATGCGTGGCGGCTAGAGTCCTCTCGTCCTCTGGCTTGAGATGGCTGCAATCTATGGGTCAGATGATTGTCTGCCAGTATTAAGCAATTGGTAATTAAATATTTAATTTGTTTTCCCTAAACAGTGTAAAATTTTGGAAAAAAAATTTCACGAAAATTAATTGTCACACACAACGAGTCTGTGTGGAAAATGTCAGCTCCATTGGATCACGGGAAGTGGGTTAAAAAACGAGCGAAAGATTTGCACGGTCCTAAGCAAGCAAGCGAACTTAATATAAAGGATTTAAAATATATTCGCCTGTAGAGGACGCGGGGATCGATCCCGCGACCTTTGGCATGGGAAGCGAGGGCGCTACCAACTGCGCTACTCCGCCACGGCCTGTGGACGGGTTACGCTCTGGGCTCCTATACTGTGACGTTCAGCCAAAGCCATAAATGAGTTCTATTTGAATATATGTAAAATAAAAATGTTTTGTCTAAAAAGTGTAAAATTTTTGAATTTGTTTTTCACGAACATTAATTGTCTGTCACAACGAGTCTGTGTGGAAAATGTCAGCTCGATTGGATCACGGGAAGTGGGTTAAAAAACGACCAAAAGATTTGCACGGTCGTAAGCAAGCAAGCAAGCACGCAAGCAAGCACGCAAGCAAGCAAGCACGCAAGCAAGCAAGCAAGTGAACTTAATATAAAGGATTTAAAAAACGACCGAAAGATTTGCACGGTCCTAAGCAAGCAAGCAAGCAAGCGAACTTAATATAAAGGATTTAAAAAGAAACAATTTTCATGAATCTTGGCCCAGTTAAGCCACTTGGGGGGCCCTAAACCTTTTTGCTCCAAGCCTGGCACCGCCACCGCGGGGATCGTGGGGGGAGGGCAGCCGCGCCGTCACCTGGCGCGGCGCGGTGCTTGCGGATACGGACGAGGAGTGCGGCGAGCGCCAGCACCACGACCGGCGCTGTGAGGAGCACCGCGATGAGCACCGGCGTGCGCAGCCCCCCGCTGGCGCCCGCCGATCCCACCGCCGCCGTGCCGGCACCGCCGCCGCCGCCCTCACCGGCACCGGCGGCGGTGCTGACGGTTCCGGATTTCCCCGACGCCAATTGGGGTGCTCCGGCACCTCCGGCACCACCTGCGCCAATCTCCCACCAACGCCCCCCCTCCCTCCATCCCCCCAACCCCCACCATCTCCAACCCCCCGCCCCTGTACTTACAGCTGAGGTGCGGCTGTACCCCCTCACCTCCCCTCATCCCCCCAGACTTAGTGGGGGGTGCGGCTGTTCCCCCCTCCCCCTCTAACCCCTACGCAAGATGGTCTCCGGGGCTGGGTTCACAACAAATCGCATGGGCGTCGCCTGGGCTACTGTTGCTGCTGCTGCTGCACTGATCCACAGCCTCTCTCCATTGCCAGCAACAAAGATGTCTCTTTGGGGCCGTCCATAAATGACGTCACGCGATTTTGGACGATTTTTGACCCCCCCCCCCCCACCTTGTCACACGGCGTCACAAGTCAGACCCCCCCCCCCTCAAATATGACGTCACAAAGCTCTGCCCTCCCCCCCCCCAAAAAACACATTTCCATTTTGAAAATAAGACATGCTTCAAATGGCTTTAAACTATTGTCATTGTAGTGCGTATTTAATGTGGCGCTGCACTCTGATGTTGTAGGAGTGTTGTTATAGCAATTAGTGTTGTTATAACAATTCTATATTTCGATTTAAAGCTTTCGTGACTGCAGGGATTCATCTTCTTGGTTCTTTCGGTAAAGTCACGTAGAAGGGAAGTAATAAAATAATAAAAAGAAACATAATAAAATAATTCTCACGAAGTTTCGGCCACAACGCAAGCAGCCGTCCTCAGGTGAAAACCAGGTCTGTCGAGACTTTACCGAAAGAACCAAGAAGATTAATTCTATATTGATTTAAAGTTGCGCATTTTGATGTGACGTCACATTTCTCAACCCCCCTCCCTCGTCACACATCGTCACAAATGTCTGACCCTCCCCCCCCCCCCCAGGTGAGTGACGTCATTTATGGACGGCCCCTTATGATTAAAG